GAGTGTTAGCAGCACTTGGTCTGGAGGAATGCGCATGCACTTACTGTTGCTGTGTCTCGTCAATCTTGGTGACAATATCCTCGGGCAGCGCCTGGCCGTCGACCTGCATCGCATCACCGTTGCTGCCGCTGCCGCTGCCGCTGATGGTGACATTGGAAAGCGCCTCTCGTGCCTCGTCGCGCTCACGTGTTAGTCGCGCAACCACGCGAGTTGCGGCATCGTTCTGGTAAAGCGCTGTGCTGAGCTCCTGTCGTGTCTGCGCCAGTTGCTGCTTGAGCGTATGTGTCTCCAATACTATGGCGTCCCACTCATTCTGGAACGCGCTGAGAAGCGCAGGAATGGAGGTGAGGTTTGGCGGTCGGGGTGTAACGACTTGCGGCGACTTGAGTTCGATGAGGTCTTCGACTGCGAGCTCTTCGCCTGTAACAGGGTCGGTGTGGTGTTCGGCAATGTGTGCTTCGATTAGACGCCTCTCGAAGACGTTGCCGCTCTTGCGCGACGCAACCGCCTCGCGTGGAGCTTCTCCGGATATGGCGCAAAGCATTGTGGTGGGGGTGGATGGGTGGTCGCGTACAGCGATGTCCTGAGCCTCGAAGTTGTCGCGAATTCTTCGGCGCAGGAACGAAGAAACGCGCTAGTGGACAAAAGAGGAAAGGCATGACTTCCTCTCTGATGAGATCACTTTTCTGGCTTGCACGTCAATGATCATGTATTTGATGTTGATTTGAAGGGACTGTGAGCAGTGTATAGATGTAAGAACGTTGACTCTATTCGCATAGTGAGATATAGTGTTTTGTGGGTGGAAAGATTTTATTCGTCAAATCACTTGTGGTGAACACTGTAAGATAGGATTGTACCTTGGCAAAGTTGAAAGAACTCAATAGAATTGACTTTTCCCGCGGGACCAACAGCTACGATATCCGACTGAATGAATACCTGGCCGTGGTTTCTGCTCAAGACGGTAGGTGGTATAAACATCAGCTCAACGGCTGGCGGACCTGCAGGTCAATGGAAAACCAACAAACCAACACCGCCCCAGATTAGCCGTCAACTGTGTTTGTTTATAAATTTCCCGTAACATCGTGACTTTCTCTTCGCTACCTGCTTGATGCTTCTTGGAAAGGCCGCCGTTGAACGTTGGCACGCGAGCTCAACTCGGACCGACGGGAGACGAATCAGAGGTGTCTACGGTCCGAGATGTACCCAATTGACAAGCACACCCAACGCCATTACGCACCCGATCCGTACGTCGAACTCGTCTCACTCCACAGCTTTCCCAGCCTCATGTGAGCCGCTTTGTTTACACATGACTTAGCTCCATACGGGTGGAAGTCCGGTCATACAAGCCGTTAACCTTGTACAACTGCGTATGTCGACCCCGCCATGTTACCTGTTTGGAGCGTCTACCGCAGCAATGCCAAGATGCCCTCATCCGCCTCAGGACAACCGGTATTGCGGGGAGCAAGGCTTGGTAGCTCTACATGAGCTTCTAACGTCTTGGTATGGAGGATCACTGTGCTCATGCGCGCATTCCATGCCGGGCCGTGACTGTAACATCATCCCGCAGGACCAAGAGCTCATGGTATAAAGTGGAACCCATGTCCGTCAAAGAACCTGTCAGTACACCTTTGAGCTGCTCTTGAGCAACCTCAAAATGATTGGCAAAGGTCTCATCCTTCTTGGGTCAGCCCTGCCTGCTTTGGCCACTGAATTGGTCAAGAGGCAAAGCTCTTCTCTTGATAGTTGTCCCGGATATACGGCAAGCAATGTCCAGAACGATGGCTCTAAGATTACTGCAGATCTGTCCCTCGCTGGCACAGCCTGCAACGTGTATGGAAATGACCTCACGGATTTGAAGTTGGAAGTCGAATATCAGACTGGTGAAGCCCATCTATGACGCTTTTCCCCTGTCCAAATCACTAACAAGCCTTGCAGAAAGTCGACTTCACGTCAAGATTTTTGATGCTGCTGAACAGGTCTTCCAAATACAGGAAAACGTCTGGCCTAGGCCTCAGGGCGATAGCGGTTTCGACTCTGAAAGCTCGGCTCTGGTTTTTTCGCACACGGACAGCCCTTTCTCCTTCACTGTCTCCCGCAGAGATACCAAAGAAACTCTTTTCGACACTTCTGCGGCCAAACTGGTCTTCGAGACGCAGTACCTCCGCCTCAGGACGAGCCTGCCCGAGACGCCTAATCTGTACGGTCTCGGCGAGTCAACTGATTCATTCCATTTAAACACCACCAACTACACTCGAACTGTAGGTCAAACTCTAACACTATGATGAAACTGACAAGTTGGAATGCTAACAAAACTTAGTTGTGGAACCGTGATGCTTACGGTACTCCCCCTGGCACCAACCTTTACGGATCGCACCCCATTTACTTCGATCACCGTGGTGAGAACGGCACCCATGGCGTTTTCCTTGCTAGTTCTGAAGGTATGGATATCAAGATTGATGACTCAGATGGCCAATTTCTTGAGTACAACGCTCTTGGTGGTGTCGTGGATCTATACTTCTTGGCCGGTCCTACACCGAAAGAAGTGGCTGTTCAGTACTCCGCGGTATCCGGAACCGCCACGATGATGCCCTACTGGGTGAGTTTCTCTAGGATGACAACTCGTTGATTCGCACAACTGACAGACTTAGGGTTTCGGATTCCACCAGTGCAAATACGGTTACCGTGACGTCTGGGAGGTTGCTGAAGTTGTGGCCAACTACACTCAGGCTGACATTCCGCTCGAGGCACGTCTCTTACCCTTTTTGAGAGACTTCTTTTAACATCAGCAGGTCATGTGGACCGATATTGACTACATGGAGCTTCGTCGACTGTTCACACTGGATCCTGAGCGCTATCCATTGGAGCTGGTACGCGGTTTGGTTGACTATCTTCACGCACATCAGCAGCATTATATCGTCATGGTCAACTCTGCTGTCTGGGCTGGCGACAACGATGTATACAATGAAGGCGTTGAGCAAAGTGTGTGGCATGTTCGCGAGAACGGTTCCATCTATCAAGGCGCCGTCTGGCCTGGTCCTACAGTCTTCCCGGACTGGTCTCATCCCAATACCCAGAATTACTGGAACAGCCAGTTTGAGCAGTTCTTCGATCCCGCTACAGGAGTTGATATTGACGGACTCTGGAACGACATGAACGAGCCAGCCAACTTCTGCCCGTACCCTTGCCTGGACCCAGTAGCATACTCTGAAGAGTCTAAGAACCCTCCTGAGCCCCCACCAGTCCGTCCTGGTGGGCCCGGCCGTGAGATCCTTGGCTTCCCTGCTGGATTCCAGCCAGGATCAGGTTTAAACGCTACTAAGCGCTCTCTGCAGTCCCGTCAATTCAACACTAAGCTGTCTAACCCCAAGCGCTCTCTCTATGCGCGCCAATCTAACCAGACTACACCTCGTTTGGGTCTGCCCGGCCGCGATCTTATCAACCCTGCATATGAGATCAACAACCCCGCTGGTAGTATCAGCAACCACACTTTGGACACCGACATTCGCAACTACGATGGTTCCTATCACTACGATACCCACAACTTCTGGGGATCACTCATGTCCATCGCTTCGAGAGAGTCTATGTTGCAACGTCGACCTGAACGTCGCCCATTCCTGATTACACGTTCCACAGTATGTTTCCCATTCTTTGTGTATGCTTTGTGCTAATTCATCGTTCAGTTCGTTGGCCTCGGCAAGTATGTAGGCAAATGGCTCGGTGACAACGTCAGCACATGGGAGCAGTACCGTTTCAGTATTGCCGGAATTCTCAACTTCGCATCCATTTACCAGATCCCCATGGTTGGAACTGATATCTGTGGATTTGCTGGTAATACCACCGAGACTCTCTGCGCGCGATGGGCTACTCTCGGAGCATTCTACCCATTCATGAGGAACCACGCAGGAGATACCTCTATCTCTCAAGAATTCTACCGCTGGCCTTTGACCCGCGCCGCAGCCAGCAACGCCATCGCCATCCGCTACCGTCTTCTTGACTACATCTACACCGCCTTCCACCGCCAAACTACATCTGGACTTCCCCTCCTCAACCCACTGTTCTTCCATTACCCTTCGGACTCCAACACCTTTGGCATCGAGCACCAGTTCTTCTACGGTGACGACATCCTCGTATCACCTGTACTTGAGGAGAACAGCACTTCCGTCAGCATCTACCTGCCCAACGGCATCTTCTACGACTGGTGGACGCTCGAGCAGATTCAGGGTAAGGGGTCTTACATCAATCTCACCGACGTAGGCTTCGATTCCATCCCGCTACACATTCGCGGTGGTGCAATCCTGCCTCTGCGTGCCGAGAGTGCGAACACAACTACCGAGCTGCGCAAGCAAGACTTCGTTATCTGGATTGCGCCCAATGCGACAAATCAGGCAACGGGTACTCTATACCTTGACGACGGAGATAGTCTCGAACAAGACGGCACAAGCGAGATCGTCTTCACGTATGACAACGGCAAGTTCAGCATGAGCGGCAAGTTTGGTTACCAGACCGATGTCCAGGTTAAGAACATTACGCTGCTCGGTGCGAATGGACAGCAGACCCTGCAGGGTCCTGTGCCGTTGACAGGCGAGTACAGCACTACCTTCAATGGCACAAGGGGCAACTATACAATCCCACCTCAGTTTGAAAGCGCAGCGAGCAGGAACAGCATCGGTGCGCTTGTCGGCGCTGTTGCTGGAGTTGCGTGGTTGGCTTTGTAGTTAAGGGTACGATCGAAGGGGGGTAGCAAGTCAGGATTTGGGAACTTGACAAGATTTTCGTGTTGAAGCATGGGGAAGTGGGCCAGATACTCTAGTTCCAACCTCGACTTTGAAAATTTCCACCCCCTGACCGCTTCTCCGCCGCATTTGTGGCACTCGTATTTACACCAGCAAAATTGTACGATCCCATCAATGTACTAAATTCCTCATTCCCCATCCCCGGAATTTTATATTCACGATATAGACTATCTTTCCCATCGCCTTTTCATCAACCAATCAAAAACCGCCCTCTTGGCTTAGTGGTAAAGCGTATCACTAGTAGCACCAACAACTCCTCGAGTTGATCCTGGTTCGGCAAATGATAAGATCGCTAGTTCGATTCTGGCAGAGGGCAGTCGAGCAAAGTCTCCTAGTCGGGCTTTGCTTGGATCCAAACAAACCATTACACGGCGTTGTGGCGGAGTGGTTATCGCGCAAGACTAGAAATCTTGTTCCTTCGGGAGCGTAGGTTCGAATCCTGCCAACGTCGTCTTTTTTTTCGTTGCTCTTGCTTGTGTGTGGGGGTGTGTGGGGGTGTGTGGGGGAGGAGTAGGTTGTGGCGATGGTGGTGGGTATCTGCGTTGTGGGGCAGTATCCTTGATTCTTGGGTGAGAAGTCACTCATCACGTTTTTTATGGATACGATGAATGACCTATGCAGATTTGGTAGACAAGATGAGCAAATATTAGTCAGTATGTTGGATTGCAAGGTTACTACGATATTCGAATGCTGTTGTGCTGCATCTGTACTTTGCTTTTATGGGAGCTAGAGACTGGAGTAAATCACTCCCTCGTCAGGTTGGCACTACCGCTTGCGCCCATGTTTCGCAATCAAGCTCCTCGACTCTCCACAGAGCCAAATGTGCGGGCCTGCTTCACCGTCTTCGAGACCATGCTGGTTGATAGCGTGTTCGATTTGCCGGGCTCGCGCACGGTTGGAGCTCAATGTAGTGATTCCCTCTGCCCAGCCGTGGAAGAAGATCGAAGTGTTCAGTCGACTCATCTCATCCTGTAGTTTACGTGCCGCAGCGGGTAACTGAGAGGCGATTGTATCGACGTTACTTGGTACGATACGAATCGGAAGCTTCAGGCCTGCAGGGACTGGGTGGTCGGACATGGAAGCCCACTCTTCTACTAGATCCGTGGTCGGCCGTCCCTCACAATCGCCTTGCGCAACTAGCAATTGAGTCCTCCGTCTCTCATCATCAGTGGCAAGTGTGTCAACGATTAGATTCATCTGATCCGCTGCTTCTTGGGTACAAACCATCGAGTGCGAGCCGATAGCAGGGTATAGATGAGTTGGCAGCAGGTTCTCGCCAGCCTCCTCTTTTATCTGAGCTTGGACTTCTCCCGGATACCAATCAAGAATTGGACACGGCCTGTGTGAAATATCGGAGATGAGAGCAAGAAGAATAGTGCAGTCGATATTCAGTGTCTCTGAAAGCGCACGTGTTCGATCAACCAACAGGTTTGAGAGCACGGACTGCAGAGGCTTGGAAGGCGGTATGTCCTCAGAGCACTGTACGATTGCGCCAGTAGCTCGAATCTTCGCGATGATGCCGTCCACCTCTTTTGTCTTGCCGGCCACGATGCGAGTAAGCACAAAGCGAACTTTCGGCGGCCGGCCGCTTACTGGATTGGCGCGTGCAGCTCGCGCAAGTTCTCGTGCGTTCCTAACAATGTCGATCTGATCCTCGTCGTCCTCATCGTCCCAGTCGTTTGGTCGTGTGTCGGGCATATCATCGTCGGAGTCTGAGTCGTTAACCCAACCCAACTTTGCAAGATCGAAGATGATCCGCTTCTCAGATACAGTCGACACGCGAATCCACTCTCTGCCCTCATCCGCCACGATATCGACCAATGCTGCGGTTTTCCCTTTTCCTATACTTCCTTTTCCGAGACTGAGGCCCTTGAGCGTACGCTTTCCTGCTGGCGCTTTGTGTCGATCCCAGAAGTAATATTTGCGGAAAGCCTGAAGCCCGCACGATCGTTTGGCGGCGCCCCACAAGGCCTCGTAGTAGGTAAGGTTCGAAGAGACAATGTAGTGGCGAATCTTCTCCTCAGGCATGGCAGAATCCGCAATCTTTCTAAGAAATGCAAGTTCGTTCTTGAAGTCGTTACGCAGGTTGCGGTATTCCACTGGGTATTGAACTCTGGTAACCTTCTGCCGCGCATCTACCGCTGCAACGTAGGCTTCGACTTCGCTGTAGAGTGTTTTGCAACGATCGATGAGGCTCTGGACTGTAGATTCGAGATCTTCGCCATTGTTACTTGTTGAGCTCAGATTGCTTATGCTTGTTGCATCTGTGCCGAGATCGAGATTACTGAAATCTGTTGATATCGAGTCGGCCATTGCGGACGATTGTAATTGGAAATCGATCGAAGAGTCCTCACGGGAAAAAGAATGATAATGCAAGCGAAGGCTGCAAGGGGATATCCAAGATTTCAAGGACGATTCGTGAAGTGAAGAAAGAAAGTATTTCGATTTGCAGCAGACATGAATTTGGTCGAGTCACACCTGATTGGAAGGTTCGATGATGTTCTTCTTTCACCAACAACCCGTCGGTGCCTGCTGTCAGCCAATGTACAGCCTAGCCTTATACTCCTGTTCGAAAACAAACAAACAGAGATCTCCGCAATGAATTTTATGCTGTCGCGTGAGCAATGCAAGTCCAGATCCATCCATCGGATTCACCTTGCCGGGCCGACGTTCATCCAGGACAGCTTGGCAACCCCGCCAAAAGTTGCCGTGAAGCACCACATCTCGCAGCGCCGAACCCCAGTGCACCCCACAATACACAATGCCGTACCTCAGGACAAGTACCGAATGGTACGAGCAGTCCTCGCTACTGCTGAAAGCTAGACCGACAAGCGTATGTCTGCTAAAACAATTGACACGTCTCACGCGACCTGACCCTGGCATAGACGCGCATCACATCCAAATATACTGTCCTCAAACCCTCAGCCTCGAAGATAAAGAAGCGCGAAAAGTACGCTGCTAAGCAAGAGGCAAAGCCTGCCGACACATCACGCACATCATCGCCGCCGCCTCAATCGCAGAACCCTCAAGAACCGACAGCCACCTTTGTCTTGAAGACATACGATCCGGTATCAGGCACATGTTTGCAGTATGAGACTACAAAAGCGGCGGAAGTAGGGAGATTGGTCAGCAGTCTCGGGAGGTTAGGGCGTGAAATGGCGGCACTACCAGAAGCAATCGAGGATCTGAGTGCGCCGCAGGATGCTGGTGTCGCAACACCCAAGGTGGATGAGCAGGGAGATGTCAAGATGGGAGGTGTACCAGTCCCAGCAGCCGCAGGGACAGGTGGCGGAAAGAAGAAGAAGAAGGGCAAGAAATGAGCTATGGCCGCAGGCGCTGAATACCATCAAGACACCACGCTGTGAACGAGAGCTAGCACATCAGACTCAGGCCACGTTGCGTTATAGCAGGCAAGTATCTGGAGGGATACGATGCGGCTTGGCTTCGCTCAGGGCGAATCGCACCTTTCACAGGAGGGCGTAGGGGTAGTGCAGCTTGAAGATACCCTTGATTCACCAGGACTACCAAAATACAACCACCGTACGGTATTTGAACCGGTCCACATAATCACTTCTCTTGTTGCCCACTCAATCGTCGTACTCCATTCTAGTATGCGTCTCAGCGTAGCTTGGTGCACCGGTAGTATTCATCGCTATTCCACAAATACCCAATCATTCTCCTCAACGACCTTCTTGTTATCGTCATCGTCCACCACTATGACCTCCCAATCTTCACCCTCAGGACCAGTTTCCTTGGTCTTGATGTTGGCTTGACCAGCGCGGCGTAAGAAGTCCTCGATCTGCGACGGCGTCTTCTTGTGCTTTGGACATGTCTTTGCAGATGGTTCCGCCGATTTGGTGTGCGCTTTAGTGATTATTTCGGGCATTGCTGGAGGAGCGGTAGTCAAGTTGAGGTAGTGACTTGCAAGATGCGGTACTGGTCGGATAGTTGTTGTCTGAGTGTGACTTAATTTGCGAGCGAAGCAGTGAGACGCGTCAATCCGAGAAGCCAAGCGTGAGTTGATCTGTGGTGAATGGATTTCTGCGACAAAACGAGAGGTTTTCTATGGGAGAGAATTCGCTCAAAGCACGGAGAAGTGAAAGGAAGGACGAGCCTACGAGCGTCTTTAGCAGGAGCTTAGAGAGTGCGAGTGAAGCAGAAGCAGCATGCGAACACCTGGATCAGTATATTGAAACCTTGGTCTGGCTTGTAGGTTTTCACCTGGTTCTTGAACCCTTCGTTTGATTGTCCAGTCGGGTAGGCATCCCATCAGAATCTCCAACATCATCCAACTTACTGAATCTGTTAACTGATCATTTGTACCTTTGAGTTGGTATTCACAACTCGATGTAGTTCAAGCATCTTCTCCGCAAGTGGACATTCACTGTTTTCGTGCTTTTGGAATGCCTGTTGCGCGTATGTCATTTTCAGAATCTGAGAAGCTGTCAACGACAATCAGTCAAGAAACTCGATTTGAGCGGTTACTTGACGACTTGTACGTAGAATACTCGCTGCTGATATATTGTGGCCACATTTAATCCCTACCTGTATTGCAGCTCATATCAACTCACCACCAAATCTTCTTACAAGCCGCTGTACTGCTGAAAAGAATGAAATCTTTGTTGTCATATGGCATGATCCTTAAGCAAAGCTTCGAAATTCAGTGCGGCCACAGCCTTAAAATCTTTCATATCGTAGTGTGCAGAATAACATGAGTTCCATGCATAGGCCCTCTCACGACAAGGCTACTGACGTGCATCGAACTAGCAAAGCAACCAGCTGACGGGCGCCTAGTCGCCGCGTGACGAGTAGATCAATCCTGCTCACTCAGGACCCTCTCTCCGCAGAATGTCCACAGGATCGCCAAGTGCGGCAGATCTGAGCACAGGGATAGCTGGTCATTTAGAGGGAGCACCCGAAAGACAGTTCCTGGTCGCAGGGCGTAGGGCTAGCTTCGACTCGTGTTGCGATCTTCCCATCACGGGCACGTGGTAAGAAGTGCAGCATCTGGCCTAGTGTACTGCATAGCGGCAGCTATCGAAAGAAGGGCCCATATCCAAACGATACCTGTTCGACGAGCAAGAGGGACGTCATCGTAGCGAGAGGTGATGATGTGCACGGGACTGCTGCCGTGTCGGCATCTCTAGCGTAGACACTAACCTAGATAGTTCAAACTGTGGCACACCACGCGTCTCCACGTGAACAGTTCACGCTGCCTTTGACAGACAGAAGACATCTCCCAACAATGCGCAACAAAGTTCGTACCGTCGGTGGATCATTATGGTGTCTAGTGCCTGTAGAATCTTGCAGGAATTA